CGCATTTCTATATACAAACCACTATCCAAAAAGGAAAATAAAGGGAATTCTAATGTGGTTCAGTGGTTAGGAATCTGTGCTCTTACACTGAAGGCCCAGGTTCAATCCTGGGCCAGAGAACTACGATCCCACAAGCCGAGCAGTGTGGCCAAAAACAAACGAAGAGGAAATTAAGGAAACAGTTCCATTTGCAATAGTGCAAAAAAGAATAGGATATTTAGGAATAGTTAACCAAAGTGGTGAAAGCTTGTACACTAAAAACTATAAATCACTGATAAAAGAGATACAGATGGAAAGATGTCCCACAGTCACAGACTGGAAAAATTAATATTGTTGAAATGTCCATATTTACCAAAGTGATCTATGGATTCAATGTAATTCTTATTAAAATCCCAATGACATTTTTACAGGAATAGCAAAACAATCTTAAAATTAATTTGGAACCATAAAAGACCCTGAATAGCCAAAGCAGTTTTGAGCAAGAAGAACAAAGCTCCCTGATTTTTAAAACATGTTATGAAGTTACCATAATCAAACCAGTATAGTACTGGTATAAAAACAGACATATACACAGACTATGGAACAGAATAAAATAAAACAGAAATAAACTCTGGCATATACATATGCTCAACTAATATTTGACAAAGAAGCCAAGAAGACTCATTGTGGAAAAGATAGTCTTCAATAAATAGTGTTGGGAAAACTAAATATCCATGTGTAAAAGAATAAAATTGGATTCTCATCTCACACTGTATACAAAACTCAACTCAAAATGGATTAAAGACTTAAAGCCCCAATGCAATAAGACTCCTAGAAAATATAGGGAAAGAGCCTCTAACATTGGTTTCTGAAATGGTTTCTTTGATATAGTATCAAAAGCTCAGGCAACAAAAGCAAAACAAGATAAGTGGGACTACATCGAACTAAAAAGCTTCTGCACAGCAAAAGAAACCATCAACAAAATGAAAGGTCAACCTACACAATAGGAGAAAATATTTGCAGACCATATAGCTGATAAGGGGTTAATATTCAAATATATAAGGAACTATATAACTCAAAGGGATCTCCTCTGGTGGCTCAGATAGTAAAGCGTCTGCCTTTAATGTGGGTAGACCCGGGTTCAATCCCTGGGTTGGGAAGAATCCCTGGAGAAGGAAATGGAAACCCACTCCAGTACTCTTGCCTGGAAAACCCCATGGACGGAGGACCCTGGCAGGCTACAGTCCATGGGGTTGCAAAGAATGGGACATGACTGACTGACTTCACTTTCTTTCTATGACTCAACAGCAACAAAACAAAAACAAAACCCCAAATAATTTGATTTTAAAAATTTGATTAAAAATGTCTGAATAGACATTCAGTTATGTCTAAACATTTAATTATGGTTTATCACAGGATACTGAACATATTTCCCAATGCTATACAGTAAGACCTTGTTGTTTATCCATCATATATGTAATAGCTTGCACCTGCTAATCCTGAACTCCCAGCCCTTCCCTCCCCCGTAAGTTTTCTGACATGCAAAGTAAGTTCTGGAGACCTATTATTAAGAAAAAGAGGTACCAGGGCTGCTGGGCTTCCTTGAACTTTTTGCAAGGGAGCAGGTATAAGCTCTGGTTTTGGAAGAGAACAGCTTTTCCTCTCATTTAATTTGAAGGAGTGTGGGCTCTAAAATCAATAAACAGAACTACTCGCTGTGAGCAAGTTATTTAACCTTATATTCTCTTTTCCTTAACATATGAGTTTTTAACATATGATTATTATGAAAATTGAGTAAGATAATATAAAAGGGGGGCTTCCTTGCTGGCTCAGTCAGTAAAGAGTCCGCTTGCAATGCAGGAGACCCAGGTTCAATGCCTGGGTTGGGAAGTTCCCCTGGAGAAGAAAATGGCAACCCACTCTAGTATTGTTGCCTGGGAAATCCCATGGACAGAGGAGCCTTCAGGGTGTTTAACAGTCCATGGGGTTGCAAACAGTTGGACACGATGGAGCAACTACACCACCACCAATGTAAAAAGTTCTCAGCACAACTCCTAGCTGTAAGACAATAAATATTTTTTAAAATGTTACTAGTAAAATTAAATTAACTTAGATCAAGTACTTTCAAGCCTACTGAAATTGCACTCACAATTCACCAACAGTGGCACATGGCTAGACTTGGTGGGTGTGCATATAGGACATATTAGACATCAGGAAGATACACAGATATCGAATACAGCCTTAGATTTGTTAAGTTAAAAAAACCTTAGAAAAACACAGCTTCATTTTAAAAAGCAAGTTATCTAGTAGTGTCTTCAAAATCAGCATCCAGTAGCTAGGAATTGTCTATGCATTATTTTCCTTTGTGTGATAAGATGCTGTGGCCTGTCAACACTGCCAGACCTGTGACCCATCGTTCTATCCAAATGAGGTGAAAAAGGCTGCTCTGCTGCAGCTGCAGAATGCGTAGTTGCTAGGGTGGCCAGACCATCCTTTGTGTTGCTTCTCTATTTACAGCTGTGTTTTAGTATACACTACAAATAGCTCAGTGACCTACATTTGACCCCATGGTCAGCATTTCCTCAGTGTATAATTGTGACTGTGTTATTTGTCTCTACTTCATTGATTTGGGTCTGCAAGTTCCGTGGTACTTTTGAGGCTGCTTGGCCAGTATTTGAGTACAATGACACTTAGGTGTAGCCCCACGATCCCAGTAGCCAGTAATCCTTTAGCTAGGATTTACTAAAACAAAGTTTATTTCGCATTTGACTGTATAATGATTTGACATTAGTGGTTCAGAGCAAATACAGTAGACGTCTGCTATATATCAGGTGTTCCTAAAGCTGCTAAATTCTACTGTGTGTGCTAAGTCACTTCAGTCGTGTCCGACTCTAGAAAAATATCCTATGGCTGATGTGTGATGATCCAGTTAGTGTCTGGGGAAGACGGTGGGTCTAAAACAGGAGATGGTTTGTTGGCACAAGGGTGGCTGTTTCCGAGGTGGTGGTACACCCACTGCAGTGGAGAATCCATACTCAAAGCAATGATGCCTCCACAGGACAGCAGAGCTGAGAAGGCACCCTGTCTCCCAGAGGGCTCTCCTGCTGTAAGTAGGGGACTGCCAGGCAGAAGCCAGCAGGGGCACAGCTGGGCTAGAGCCGCCCCCATGACCTGCGACATGAGCATGAGATTTATGACATATCTCCCCAAATTCCTTGCATGTTCCCCTCACTCAGGAACTCAAAGAAAGGGCTTGGACAAGGCTCAAGCCTCAGCAATTCAGCTATGAGGACTGTAACCATGGGTTGCTGCTGGAGACCATGGAAATACTGTCCACAGCGATTGATGGGACATCCTTCAGGGAAAAATCCTAATAACGAAGGGTCATAGTTCAGCTGGTAAACAATCAGCCTGCAGTGCAGGAGACCCCGGTTCAATTCCTAGGTTGGGAAGATCCCCTGGAGAAGGGATAGGCTTCCCACTCCAGTATTCCTGGACTTCCCTGGTGGCTCAGATGGTAAAGAATCTGCCTGCAATGCAGGAGACCCGGGTTCAATCCCTGGGTTGGGAAGATCCCCCAGAGGTGGGCATGGCAACCCACTCCAGTATTGTCTGGAGAATCCCCATGGACAGAACACCCTGGCAGGCTAGTCCATACAGTTGCAGAGTCGGACACAACTAAGTGAATACACGCATCATTCTTACCAGTGTTACATCTTTGGAACCGCTATTCTATCTTAATCCAACATTTTACCCAGAATATAACTTGGAAGCTTATCTTAAAATCCTCTCAGGTGTCCAGTTTTGCTGTTGGATGTGTTAGCAGCTTCCGTTTACTTCCTCTCTAGGAAGCCACCCTTGATGACATCCTGTTTAGAGGCTTTTTGATTGTTTTTCTCTTTATTGTCTTGTACAAACTTGTGTGCGTTAGATTCACCTGGAAGGCTTATTGTAACAGACTGCTGGGCCTGGGCTGGACATTTCTACCAAGTTCCCAGGTTACGGTTGCTAATCTAGGGACCACATTTTGAGAATAATTGGTCTTACAGAAAGAGGACAAAATCTAATATATTGTGATAATATTGTGATAAATCTGATATATTGTGATAGTTCTGTGATGGCTTAAATAAGCGTATGAAAGGATGAAAGAGGTTTAGCTTGATACTATTCTAATACCTATTAAGATCCTGACACTCTGATGTTTCCCAGTTATAGCCTGCTCATAGAAACTCAACATTGATTACAAACAAACAGTGTGTACTGGGAAACTGACAGATGAGCAGAACCTCTCAATGAGATGAGTAGTACAGTTTATTTCAATTAAATCTTCCCTAGTCTTATTTTCTTTCTAGAGGTGGAATAAAGGGGGGGGGGCGCGTAATTCAGATTAAAGTTTACTGATACAGTTGTAAAGAAGACCAGAGGAGGAAGGTGATAATAACCCAAAGTAACTGAGGGAAGAGAAAAATGAAAAACCCTGACACGTTGGCTGTAGCACAATTCAAGTTTATTCCATTTGTTCTTGCAACACAAAACTTAAACACAGTATTATTTAGCATTCTGATGTACATGAACTAGGATAATATGAGAAACCCAACTGTGTCAAATGTATTACATTGTGGAAAAAATGAACTCAAATATATCAAAATGCACAAAGCACTAGTCTTCCTCCATTACTGCTTAGAAAGATATGATTGTTTCTCCATTTACAAAATAGAATCAGGACAATTTAAATTTTTTAAAATTTTGCATGCAAACACTGCAATTGCTTATGTAGGAGGGCACTCTCACCAGCTTCTTCTATACACAATCGAGTACACAATATTGCATGGAAGAAAACAGCAGCTTAGTTGAAGTTTTAGGGGAAAAAAATCAAATAAGTACATATAGATTTGAAATCCATTATTTGGGGGAAGGAAATCAATGAATGAAGGGCCTGCTTGCTGACAGCTTCCATCCATGGCATCCACCTACTTCTCCTTCATGCCCCACTGGGTTTAGAAGGTGAGCTGTGCAGAGAACTACTGGGTCGATTCCGGTGCTGGAGCTGAACTGTAAGTCTCAAGACACCAGTCGGAAGCTGCAAGGGGGAATCTGTTAGGATACTAATGTAGACAGGTAAACCACCTGTTTTCACTTGAAATAGTGCATATGAAAAGAATGACTTAATACAAAACTACAGAACATGCAAAATTTTTTTCTGAGATGTTAAATATTACTGCAGTGGCGAACAAAACTTACTTAACCTTTTACTAATGCATGTAGTACCAAAAAAGCAGACAAGGTTTTAGCTTTCTTTACTCAAAATACAAACATTAAGTGTTGTAAATTTCTCTGCCAAGTGGTTCAGAAATACATTATAAATAACCTAGTTAAAAAAAAAACAAAAACAAAACTCTAAACCATCTTGGTCAGTCTATTCTATGTTTATCTGTTATTTTCTCAAGCAACCGCTTCATAATTACGGGGTTTACAAAATGGCTGAGAAAGAAGAGGGAAGGCAAAGTAGCCTCTACTGCATTACAAGGAACGCCAGGATAGACTGTACAAAGAATCACGTGGTCTCTGGACCAGGTGACTGGAGGAAGCAGACCAAGTTTAGGAATGATAGAACAGCACACTCTCTACAGTAGCCCACTACAGAAAACACTTGGAAAATAAAGGTGAAAACTGTGTAGAGTAAAAGTCGAGTCTTTTAAACAGCAGTATGCCAAGAAGCGAAAACAAAGATACCAGAACACCTTGTACGCTGACCGTACACACTGATAGAGTGCCCTCCATCTTCAGCGAGGATCACTGTGTTTCACTGCAGTGATGTCATAAAGCACTAATTACTGACTTCTAATCCAACTCTAATAGCCTGCATCAAGACAGCAGAATTAGTCACAGGTATCAAAGTATTTAAACTAGTATTCTGTGATTGTTTACTTGGACACAGGAAAATTCCAGGGTTAAGCTAGTTTTAAGTGAAAAAAGCCACAGGATAAAAAAAGGGTTCACTGGGGAAAAATACACACAAACAAACCCACACATCAACCAACCAATCAGCAACTGGTCAGTAAAATTTGTTATTGGCCAGGCTGACTGTTCTTGGTACTAGTTTAACCCTGCTGTAGGATGCTACATGGCCTTAAAAAATTGTCATTAATTCTTTATTAACCACAATCTGAATACAAGTCCCTAACCCACCCTCCCCCCACTTTTAAAAATTTGAGGTACATTCAATTATTGCATGACATGGCTAAGGAAAAACGCTAGTATTTTTAGTAAGCATATATGGATGGCAAGTCGAACGAATCTTATTTTATATGCAGGACAGCAAATTTAAGGGTATATGTTTTAATCAGCTGTACTGCTCAAGAAATAAACATTGGAAAATGTGTCTAACTATTTTCTGCAGGTCAGAACACCATTTTAGGGCACTGTATTTTTAAAAATACAGAATATAATTTGAAGGTGTCCCACTTTATGCAATGCATGAAAGAGAAAAGAAACAAAAATATATTAGGCAGGTGGGCTGGCATACATTCAGCAGAAGCCTATCAACAACTCTGGGAAACCTGGTGACATGCGTATTTTTAAGAGATGGGGTTAAACTGGTCCAAACAGTAAATCTCACCCCAGTGAAAGCTTTGGTGCGCAGTAAGTAATCAGCATCCAAGGTGGGTCTGAGAGAGGCATTCCAAAAGAATGTTCCTTGATTCTCCAAACAGAACTGAGGCCAATCTATTCAAACAGCAAATGAAGAAAATCCATAGGTACTAAGACAACTGTTCTCTCTTTATCTAACAGACTTATGGCTATGATTCTATTTTTAAATCCCCTTTTACTACCAGCAGGAGTTGGAAAGTGTTTCAATGTTATATGTCTGAATCTAGAGGAGGAAAAAAAGAAAAATGCAGACTGGAATGATTTCTCCTTTAGACTTCCAAAATTTGAGATTTTATAAATAAAACTAGTCAGTTTTACCTAAAGATACATGAAATCCATGTGAAGGGGGAGAGGAAACCCAAAGTCCGGCCGTCCAGCAGCGGAGGAGTGTGCGCCCCTCGCCTTAACCGAGCTCTCATGTAAAGCTGGAAGTCACCAGGGGAGATTTGGTCACCAACCACAGGCAGCGCCCTTAACGACGCCGGGAGATCCCCACGAGAGTGCATCTTAAGGCAGAAGGCTAGAGCTAATTGCTTGTCTCAGCACCCTAAGTTTCGTCACAGCAGCCACTACTGCTCACACAGATAGGGCTACCAAATGTATAGTTGGCCTTGGTATAGTCAGACCCTCAACACAATCTAATTAATAAATTAGCTAGGGAGCTGAAAAGGTCAAATATTAACGGTATGTTTTGTCTTTGCTCTCCCATGGGTATCAGTTGTTTTTTTAACTGGAAATGGAAAAGAGGCTGACCTGATCAGGAATCCTAGTAAAAGCCTGATCTTGTTTCTTCCTCTCCTCCCAAACATTGTTTTTTTTTTTCCTGGTAGTCTGATTTGTTATGAATTTCTCTCTCCCCTCACCCCTCTAAAAGTATTTTAGCTGAAGAAGCTGGCAGATAGAGTGACAGACAGACAGGCAGCAGTGTGAGGCCACAGGAGAGTCATTCTTCCAGAGCTGTTAGCCCATCCGTCCATCACTGAAGAAGGGCTTTGATTGCCTGGTTGTCAGTGGCTTCAAAGGCAGTCAGTCCATCGGGACCTTTCACAGTCTTATCGGCACCCTGGAAAACACAGGAAAGAGCCTTTATCATTAAACGAGCCTACAACCAAGAGAAGAGAATGAAAGGCTGGATTACTTGGCACATGCAAAACCTCTTTGCTCCTGAAATCTGTTCCACTGAAGGAAAAGCCCCAAACAGTTGTCAAGGATACAGATTAAGCTGTAAAAATATCAGATTATTTTTCAGACACTAGAAATATACAAACTACAGACACAACTTGCCAATAACAGGCAATGACTGGTTTTTATTTATAATATCATACACTTTTTATTTGTAATACCCAACTAATATTTATAATACTCAACTAATTAAGTTTTAAATAGGAAGATCCCTGTGTGTAGTATATAATGAGGAGGGTGGGGAGAGAACACTTTTGCTTAAAAAAAAAAAAAAAAAAAAGCATTACTGTGACAACATTTTCTTCTTTGCAACACTTTTTGGAGAGTGCATAAATATTATGCACATATTTTTAAAATCGAGAACTTACAACTCTTTTAGGCAAATTCCTAAAGAACATGTATGATATTGGTCATTATACTTCCAAAAAACTGAGCAGTAAGTGACTGGAATGTGAGCCGGGAAAAGAGGAGGGTCCCTGCTCTACTCCAGAGAGATTCTTTGCAGCTTGCTCCCTTGTGCTTCACGAGGAGAGTGCTGTTCTGAACACTTTACTTGCAACACAGCACTTCAGTTTTGACAATGTGTACATATGCTTTGGTGTCTTGTTCTTATCCATCTTCCCTTATTAGAATAAAAACTCAATGGAAGTAGAAATCTTACTCATATTGTCCATTGCTCTGTCCCCAGTATTTAAACAGGTGCATGGAAGGTGAATTTGGTCCCAAACCATGTCTGAACTCTCTAACTCCTAGTGAAAGCAACACTCCACTCTCTTGAGGGTTCTTTGATAGCTCCAGCCCAACCAGTATGTATTCACCAAATAACCTCTAGTGTCCTGTCTTCCTCCCATTGCCAAGTCTCACTCATTCTTCTGTTTCTGAGGCCTATAGAAGTGTCTTAACTTGGAGTACATGGTCCTGTAGAGACCAATGTCAGTCAAATTCACCAGTCTCTCCTCCCATTCATCCTTCAATGTGCTAATCCTCTAGAATGTCTTACCATTCCTGAACCATTCCATATCTTTTTACATTGCTGGGTTCCATATGGAATGCCTTGTCCCCTTTCTCCGGGAAACCCATTTGATCATTCAACAAATATTTACTGAATGTCTGAGGTATAGACACTGTGTAAGGGGCTGGTGGTGAATTCAGTCGCTAAGTCATGTCTGACTCTTGTGACCTCATGGACAGTAGCCAATCGGACTCCTCTCTCAATGGGATTTCCCAGGCGTTAAGGAGCTGGAGAATCAAAGGAAAAACAAGATACACTCTGCCAGTCTGGCTCGTGTGAGAGACAAACAAATTAACAAATATGATACACTGGGATGAGAACAAAAAGAGCACTACGCACAGTGATGAGTGGCCCATAAACCAGAATGGGATGAGGTAGGAGGGTGCAAAAGTCTTTCTGGATGAGGTAATGCTTGAGGTGGGTCTTGATGAGTAAGTACAAGCTGATTAGGTGAGCCAGGAAGGAGATGACAGAAATTCTAGCAAGCATTAAAATCATCACAAAGTCCTCCTCATTACAAATATAAATGTTTGGTTTCTCACTTTCTAAGTGATTTTAACTGCATTATGAGACACATGGAACTTACAGTCAAGTGACAGAGAAATGTGCAAGTGAGAACTTCAGTGGCGAGCATGCCAACACAGGTTAAGTAACAATAATTGGGTCAGTTGTATTCAAAACAAATTCTTTAATTTTTTTTTTTTACTGATGTATAGTTGAAAGACAATGCTGTGTTAATTACTGCTGTAAAGTGACTCAGTTATATGTATATGCATTTTTTTCATATTCTTTTCCATTATGGTTTACGTAGGACCATATTGTTCACCATTCTATATATACCAGTTTGCATCTGCTAATCCATTCCTCTTCCATATCACTATCCCTTTGAACCACCAGTCTATTCTCTATGTCCCTGTTTCTGTTTCATAGATAGGTTCCATCTGTGTCATATTTTAGATTCCACATATAAGTGATATATGGTATTTCTTTCTCTTTTTGATTTACTTAGTATGATAACCTTTAGGGCCATCCATGTTGCTGCAAATGGCATAACTTCACTCCTTTTATGGCTGAGTAGTATTCCATTGTATATATACATACCACATCTTCATTCATCTGTTGACGGACATTTTGGTTGTTTCCATGTCTTGGCTACTGTAAACAGTGCTGCTGTGAACAGAGGGGTGCATGTATCTCTTTGAGAATTATAGTTTTGTCTGTCTATAAGGCCAGAAGTGGGACTGCTGGATCATATGGTGGTTCTATTTTTAACAAAACAATTATTCCTTATTCATACTGGTAACTGTTTTTATGACTAGCAACTGTAAACTATAATTCTGCATTAACAAAAAGTCAAATATCACAGTGAATATCTGTTGCTTTTAGGCTGACGGAGTTCACTTCTCTTCTTTTGATAACAGGATCCTAAATTTCATTCTAGGGAGCCATTTGTCCCCATTGTGTGGACGGACTCCTCAAACTGTATGTAACTTAAGGTGCCAGGTACTTTTCTTGCCAACCATCAGAGCAGGACACTCACTTCTGGATTTTGAATCTTGACTGAAAAGAGCAAAAGAAAGGCAACAAGAAGTCAGAGCTCGTTTATTTCTGTGGCATCACCCGGAAGAGGCAGTGGAGAAGTTTCTCCTATCTTGAGTCTTACAGCTGGTATAGTTCTGGCCTCTTCTGAGCCTAGTACTCCAACTTTCCAACCGATTCTATGATTAGTCCAATTATCTTCTACTTGTTAGAGTCAAATTCTGCTATTTGCAACCCAAAAAATCTGGCTGATAAAAGTATTTATTTATTTTTCATTTATTTTTATTAGTTGGACGCTAATTACTTTACAATATTGTAGTGGTTTTTGTCATACATTGACACGAATCATCCATGGATTTAAAATTTTATATAAGCCATCTCTTTTTTCCTAATTATAACACAAACTAATTACAGAACTCAGAATACACATCAAAAAAGCCCCCAAAATATTCTATAAGCTAGATACAACTGACGTTAACATTTTAGTGTTTCTATCTACTCTAATGTCCTAAATATGCATGTGCATGTACCTATTTTAAAAATAAATGAGTAACCATAAGAGAAACAGAGTGACTCTTACACCACACGAAAGAAACTTTAAGATAAAGAAGTATTACCAGAGACAGAGGGACATTTCATATCATTAAAAGGCTTAAAATCCAAAATTTAAAAATAAAACCAAGAAAACAATTCCATTTATGATAACATCAAAAATAAATGTTAGGAATAAATTTAATGAACTCAAATCAGTTCTTCTAAAAGTGATAAAGCAGTTCTGTCAATGTGGAAAAAGATATTAAAAGAAAATGATTTTTTGGTAGCTGATTGGAGAACTTAAGAATATCTGGCCTCATCCCTTCCTCGAGGAAACCATTTTCAATCAATTGTTATTAGTTCTAAGGACTGTTTCATGTCTCTAACTAATACACTCATGCCACTAGAGTTATTAACTTTAGATATTACCTTCTGATTCCCTGCTATACAGATGCGGCTCTAGCGCACTACCAGGTGCTACCCCAGATCCTCCCAATTTCTTATACTTAAAAATAGCAGTTTTGTTTCTTTGCAAATTTGTAATGTACTTATTTAAACCTGTGTTTCTTGTACCATCAATTCTGATAGTATCTCTGCTTTAAAGATGCTTTCTCTATTTTCCCATTCCTCCATTTCCTGAATTGCCAGCTTTTCTATTTTGTCAAGATTAACTTTTATATTCTGTCAAAGATTGTGTTTTGTTTATTGGTTGATTTTTCCACCACAGTTGCCATACTGTAAATTATATCCCCAGGACTGACTTATAACTGGAAGTTTGTACCTTTTGACAACCTTCGCCCATTCCTTGCCCCCAAATGAGTTTTGAGATTCATATGAATGAGATAATACAGTATTTGTCTTTCTCTAATATATCTCATTTAGCACAATGCCCTCAAGGCCTCTTTATATTGTTTCAAGTGGCAGGATTTTAATAGCTGAATAATATTCCATTGCAGTGTTTATGTACACACACACACATTTTCTTTATTCACACATTTATTGATAGTCACTTAGGTTATTTTCAAGTCTTGGTCACAGTAAATAATGCTACAGTGAACACAAGGTACAGATATATTTTTGAGTTAGGATTTTTGTTTCCTTCAGATAAACACCCAGTAGAACTGCTGGATCATATGGTAGTCCTACTTTTAATTTTCTGAGGCCCCTCCATACTGTTTTCCACAGAGGCTGCACCAACTTACACCCTGCCAATAGTGCACAAGAGTTCCCTTTTTTCCATATCCCTGCCAGCACTTACTGTTTCTTTTATCTGTGATAACAGCCATTCTAATAGGTATGAGGTGACAATTCGTTGTGGTTTTGATTCATATTTCCCTGGTGATTACTAATGTTGAAAGAAAGAAAAGTGAAGTTGCTCAGTCGTGTCCAACTCTTTGCAACCCCATGGATTGTAGCCTACCTGGCTCCTCCGTTTACGGAATTTTCCAGGCAAGAATACTGGAATGGGTTGCCGTTTCCTTCTCCATGGGATCTTCCCGACCCAGGGATTGAACCTGGGTCTCCCGCATTGCAGGCAGACGCTTTACCATCTGAGCCACCAGGGAAGCTAATGTTGAGGAACCTTTTAATGTACCTGCTGGCCATCTGTATATCTTTTGTAAAAATGTCTATTCAGATCCTCTATCCATTTTAAAATCAGATTTTTTTTAACTGAGTTTTTTTCCTGTTGACTTATGTGAATATTTTATGTTTTGGGTATTAAACCCTTATCATTAATATGATTTGCAAATAATTCTGTCCCATTCTATAGGTTGCCCTTTCATCTTGTTGATGGG